CAAGGGGAAGTTTTAGAGGATATTGGGTTGTAGAAAATGTTGTATTATTGTGTTTATGTGGCCTTGCAGGGGGAGAATTTAAAGCAACAATTCTAGAGGACTGATTTAGAAATCCATTAGATTTAAAGAGACTGTTCGGAAGTGAGAGAGAACAGGGTTGTCTCAAATGTTCGCAGTGTGAGTAATATGAGTAGTGTGTGGGTAGTGAAGTCCAGAGAACAGGAGTGCTGTACACAGGAAGTACAGAGTTGTGGAAGGATACTATCTAGCTGAGAGCCTCTGGTGAAGTGTGACTTGAGTAAAAGCAGCGTTGGCTGCGCATGAGAGAGAGGTGCGCCTGCACGTGTACAGCTGGGCTGTGAGGTTGGGCACCAGAGGTTGTGAGTGGTTGTGAGGAGTTGTGAGTTGCTGTATGTGAGTCTGGGGCATGAGGTTGAGGCTAACACTGAGAGAGTAGCGTAAGGTAGAGACATCAGCAGCTGGAGGCAGATCTGAACTCCAAGGGCTGACTGGCGGAGCGTGCGTGAGCCAGTAGCTATCATGAGTGAGTTACAACAGCGAGAGTAGGTTCCAAAGTAAGAGCAAGGAGCGAGAGGAGGTTCCGAGTGAGAGAAGGAGCAGGGGGCTCCACGTGACAAAATATCATTGTGGTGCAGGGAAGATTTACATAAAGCAGCAGCTTTGCACCTGTTGCTTGCCAGGATAGCTTCAGCTCCCCTGCATCCCTGTATTGGATAAAGCAGTTAGAAAATGGATGGATGGATGAACCTGTAAAGGCATATCAATTTACTGGATAATGCTGTGGATCTGAGTTTGCCCTATATTCTCTGCCTTTAAATCACGTTCAATAAAATTGAATGTGATTTCTATTTCTTTCTGATTCTCTAGTTAGAACATAAGCCAGAGAAGGCATATGTTGCTGAGTTAATAGTTACTGTAAGTGGGATTGCAGTTTTGTTCAAACATTTCTTATAAGTGCCCAGTGCTAGGGCCGCAGTGTCCTGGTTGGGAAGTCTGTTCCAGATACTCAGTCTTCTCTGTGTAAAGAAGTGTTTCCTTTCCCCCATACCATATTTCTCTCTAAACTATTTTTTAGTTCACATAACGGAGTAACTGAGTCTGGCATACAGTGGTTTACTGGATGAACCCTATATGTAACCCTTAGTATTTTGAATATTTGCTTCACTTTTCTTGTCAGTCTCCTTTGTTCTAGACTGAATTAGCTCCCTTAGTCTGTGTGTACAGTATATGAACCTTTAAGACGTGGAATCATTCAAGTTACTTCTCTCTAATCTCTTTCTAAAACTACAATTTTATTGGTATAGTGACAAAAGCTGAGTACAATTGTTACGACACGCCCCCGGAGGATTCGAGATTCCACCTCGCACTCCAGCACTTTTCCCCATTAGCCTATTTAATGCTGCTTCACACTCTCCCCGGTGCTCAGTATTACTGTAGGTTTTCCTGGCTAGAGCTACCCCGTCTTCCTGGGATAAGTTACATCTTGGTTTTTGGCTTCCTGACCCTGGTCTGTTCTCCGACTATGTCTCCTGGTTTTGTTTTGGTACTTTGATTATTTTTTTCTGATTCTGTACTTTTGCAATGTTTTTTTGTCCTTCGACTTTCTGACCTCGGACTGTTTAATCGACTACGCCTCTGAAGTTCGTCCTGATTATTCTGCAAAGGGTACTCATTAATATTCTATAACAACAATATCCTAAATGATTTTGTCTAAGTGTTTTTCCAGTTTAAGTCTATCATTTCTAAAACTGCAACAGGTGATGGATTGGTCTGTAGTTTTGTGGCAAATTCTGGGGGAGAGTGTTAGTCATTAGGTCATCCAGCTAAAAGTAATTTTAAAATAAATCATGTGGCAGGACAGTAATCCTAAACACAAAAACAGATGCACAATTAATTAGATATATAATAAAGTGTAAAAAAATATATATTTTGGATTGGCCGAGTCAAGACCTGAACACCATCAAAGCTATGACAGAACTTGAAGCAAGGAAACCCTCAAATGTCACCAAGTTGATGTGTTCTGTTAAGAAGAATGAGCCTAAAAGCTGATGTTAGAGACTGGTAAACAGTAAAGGGACCTGTCTAATTGATGTAATGGTTGCTAAAGGAGGAGTCACCAATTGTTGAATCTAAGTGTTCACATACTTATTCACCCAAGGATATTTACTTTTGGGCCATTTTGTAATCAAAATATATCTTATGCATTTGTGTTACACACATTTAACCTTTCAGTCTAATTACCCTCAGCAGCCATATCACTCTGCAACTCACAACTGACAGCCCACTGAAACTAAGCAGGTGCGAGCCTGGTCAGTACCTGGATGGGAGACCTCCTGGGAAAAACTAAGGTTGCTGCTGGGAGGGGTTAGTGGGGCCAGCAGGGGGCGCTCACCCTGTGGTCCATGTGGGTCCTAATGCCCCAGTATAGTGACAGGGACACTATACTGTAAACAGGCGCCGTCCTTCAGATGAGGCGTAAAACCGAGGTCCTGACTCTCTGTGGTCATTGAAAATCCCAGGGCGTTTCTTGAAAAGAGTAGGGGTGTAACCCCAGTGTCCTGGCCAAATTTCCCATTGGCCCTTCCCAATCATAGCCTCCTAATAATCCCCATCTCTGAATTGGCTTCATTACTCTCCTCTCCTCCCCACTGATAGCTGGTGTGTGTTGAGCGTTCTGGCGCACTATGGCTGCCGTCGCACATCCAGGTGGGTGCTGCACATTGGTGGTGGTGGAGGGGAGTCCCCATTACCTGTAAAGAGCTTTGAGTGGAGTGTCCAGAAAAGCGCTATATAAGTATAAGCAATTATTATTATTAATTATTACCCTCTAAGGCTCAGAAGGCATCTTATGTTCCTTCAGGTCTGAGATAGGGAAATGTCATGCCCAGTACACCTAGAGGGCGCTCTACTTCTGTCCTGTTCTTAGTTCCCTGTGATTATTCATGTCTTTCTGGTGTGTCTTGTTGTGTAGCCTATTGACTTCCTGCTTCTGCTCTGCTCCTCACTCAGCATTGAGGTTCAGATGAGGTTCCTGAGAAAAATAATAACAAATGTAGGGTTTTGCATACAGCACATACAGTAAAAACTTAAACATAAACAATAAATGGGAAAAGCATTTTTTCTACTTCTTATGAAGCATACAGTATAAAGTGCAGGGGCTACATATGAGGCTACTTAATAGTAGAATTCTTAGTTTATTAAAAGATAGGTGTTTATATTGAGTTTTCATTTTCTAGAAAGTGTTGGGAAGCTATAAAACAGGCAAACAAAATCTTAGGATGTGTAGTTAAAATGTAAAATGCAAGCCTAGGGATGCTATTTTAAAAGGGTATAGTCCATTAGTAAGACCTCATAGGGGTCACTATGCTATAAAATGACATTTCGGCTCGGGAGTCAGTTCAGAGAAGAGCAATCAATAAGTTACACATCCTAGAGATCTAAGGAATGTCCTTCTCTGATAGGTAAAGAGAGCTCAAACCTTTTAGTTTCACAAAAGACTAAGAGTGGACTAGATCCAAGCATTCAAAATCTATGAAGATATTGATATTGAAAGTACATGAAAGGGGATATAAAACTGAGAAAAGGATAGATTTCATTGAACACAGAGTTGCAAGTGGAACAGGCTATACAACCTTGTTTATGAAGCCATAAAAGGCTGTTGGCTTTTAAATATGTTCAAATAAGTCAGCAAATAATAGCTAACATACTGTATGGGCATTTATAAATATTGCTTATATAAATGTCTCCTGAGTGTCAATTGTTTAAAATTTCCTTGATTGGTTGATCCATATGGCACTGACATCTCCAGTTTGAGCCTGGAACTTGTCAGTATCTGGTTTAGCTGGAGTGATATTAGATGTACTGTAGTTGCTTTCCATTTAGTGCATGCTCTCCTTTAATGGGCCCTAAAGATGTATGTTTATCAAGAGATGAATGACTCTGGGTAAATTGTGTGGGTACAGTAAATATAGTAATAATTGGTGCTTCAGATGTTTTTTTTTAAGTATTCATTTAAAAATGGTGTCAGAATTTTTATTTCACTTTGTATCAGAAAACTCCCGTGTTCTTGATATTTCAACTGAATAAGCCTGGTTTATTGTGAGAGGACGTTGTATTAAAAATGATGTCTGTATAAAAACTACTTCCAAAAAGATTAGATTATTTAAGCTGTTGATACAGGAGAACAGAAAGAGGTCCTATAAACAGAAATGGATTTAGCAAATATAGCTATATTGCAAGGAATTCCTTTACTTTTACAATATAAAATAAACTCAACACAGATTTCATAAATTATCTAGATAATGGTCACAGTGAAAATTGTTATAAGATACTTCTTTACAATGAAGCCCAATTTGTTATGGTGCCAAAAGTCAGTGATACGCCTACAAAGAGCATTATCAATCTTGATTAAATACAATCTTTGGTTATTATCTGCCATGAACTGACCTCTTACATTTATTTCAATTCTGACTTTCGATTTACTTGATTCAATTGCAGCCAAAGCAAGTACAGAATAGGATGTAGTTTATGAAATTATAAACGTTTTGGTTGTAATGTGTCATTTTCTCATTTTCTAGATTGAAATATGTGCAGCATTTCAGTTCTCTTGAAATTTATAAGGCAATAATCATTGGGTTGTAATTACATTCATTCACCCACATTTAAAAAAAAATATTAAAACAATCTTCGTTTTCCTTCAAAAGTGGAATTTCATGTGGCGATAATTGCATTTCCTACATAATTCTTAAAATGTAATTCCATGTGGAGTTGCTTCAACATAGCCAGCCTCTTCCATGTAATATGTTTGCATTCCTAGAGACATTTAAGACTACAAAAACACAGGGTTTTGAGAAGGGTAAGTTAAAGCTTATTTTGGTCTTCTAACAGTCTACAAGTCCTTACAGTTTGGTTGTTCAGCTAGGTATACTCTCATGTGTTTGCCTTCAGAATATAATGTATATATAACCCTTTTTTTTCAGGGTCAGGTCATGTTCAGAAATGGGGAGCGGATGGGCACAATCAAATTTACTCAGTTTCAAGGTAAGTGTGTGATGTCTCAGTGATTAACTGCTGTGCCTCCAATTATACACACTTAAACTATTCTCGCTTCATGCTGTTAAGCTCTTTGTGTGAGCATAAGGAGTATAGAGACAAAATAGTTACATGCACCAAAGGATAACACTGAACTAAGTTAAAAAATTATGTTTGGGGGTCACAGATATGGAAACATTTTGATTAAATGTATTATTTTCCCCATCTTGGCTAGCAGCTGTCTGGACTAGTTGCCGTGCCTCTGCGGTTGTAATTAGAAGGTTTGGGGCTCAAATCCCATGAGGTAGGCACTGCAGTTATAGACATGCAGAAAGTACATAACTGAGATTACTTCAGTCAATTATTCAGCCGTATAAATTGGAACAAAATCAGCTACTATGAAAAAAAAAACATAATAATGGTGTTATACTTTAATAATAGGTATTTATATACATACTTTCATGAATACTACCCATAAAACCAGATTCAAAAACTCTCCCAACATCCCACTATTACCACCACTCTGCCATCGCCATCTGTTTTAATTTTCGGGGCTGTGCTTTAGTTTTATTTTTATTGTGGGTCAGACAGCATATTGATAATTCAGTTTGTAAAAGCTTTGCAAAGCCAGTAGAATATCAATGTCCTTGAATGCATTAAATATTTAAAATTTCATACATGCAAAGCTTTAGTTTCCTGAGACAGCACAAGCAAAGCAGAATAAGAGTTTATGAACTGGCAGTTGACTTCGTGAACATAAAGTTTAGCTTGCTTTGAGAGTTTTTGCTGATATGCTATTGTGCATCATGTCAAAAACCGGTACAGCCTCAGAACTGAAATTGATGGCATTTCATAAACAGCAATTAAATAAATTAAACTAGAAACATTACAGAGGTTAAGTAACAGCAGACTCGGCAGTCTAATATTCTTAATTCATTCTTTGGTATCTTAGGTACTGTGCACTCCAAGGGTATTGGGACGGCTAATTCAAAATTTAGTTTTCTTTTGCAGTCAATAAATGTGTACTTGTGATCAGCAGATTAATTTGTGTGATTCAGCACACATTATTTTTAGCTTATTGCATGGATATGTTTGATCATATGCAAATAAAAACATACTGTACTGTTCAATTATGTGATTTTATGTGACCGTATTAAGTGAGTCAGTTCCAGATATAGCCCTGCATAACATTATCTTCACCATGCTTGACAGAATAGGTGGTCAAATTAGTTTTTATTTGACTGTCTTAATAGTTTTTGGTGGAACTGTTTGAGTTCTGAATCTTTATTTTGTATCTGTAATGAAAGTTACTTTTTATTAAGATAAATTAACACAACGAAAGAGAATGAACTGCTTTACATTGACTCAAACGGACTGCCAACATCCAAATGAGCTAAAGTATGAAACCATACAAAAAGGAGGACCTCTTTGATTGTGAGCTTGTGGATTTCAATGCTGTTTTTCAGGCAGTTTGAGTTGCCATTAAGTAGAAAATGTTATCAGGAAGGAACCAGAGCATCCCTGCTTTTGCACTTTTCAACAACTGTGAAAATGTACTGGGCTGTGTGAATGCCCAAGGCAAGATGACCTTCCTGTTTCTCATTCTCCCTCACATCTTACACTCCCAAATGACTTGGCAGGAAATAACTGACATCCCTTTTGACACATCACTGCTGAAAAAGGGATAGCCCAGAATTAATATTTAAAGAGGCGCCAATCCCTTTGCAAAGACAGCCATTCATCTTTTTTAGAGGAGATGGAAATGCATCTTGTGCCAAAGAAACTCTGAGCATGTCAGCTACTACATCATGCTCATGGTGATATACAGTAGAATGCAGCTTGTTTTCTTAAATTAATCTAGCTAGGAAAAGAAGCTTCCTGAATTCCTTTACAGATTTAACAGCATGGAGTCTCCAACACAAATACCATTAAGCACAATATTTTCAACAGTACATTTAAGGGGTTTTACTAAATAAATGACAGTTTTACTCAATTGTATTAAATACATAAATTCGTTTTTCTACAGTGACAGTGATATTGTACATTACATTAAGAAAGACTTGGCTAGATCTTCTGCAACAAAATACAAATAAAATATAAAAACTGAGTACCAAAATTAAACTTCTAAGTACAATTTGAATTCACTTTTTTATATTAAGGGGGTTGAATGTATATGTATATTTAATGGCCATAATTATTAGGAGAATTAGTAATAAATGGTTACTAATTTTAATTAAAATCACACATTATCTGGCCTGCAGATCATCAATGAATGTTTTGTTGGATATATTTATATTACATCCTTTTACATTGAAACACAAACTACTGTATCTGGAAACTGGATTTCAATTCTGTTTTAATATTGTTTTCTCAAAATGCTGAATACCTTAAAAACACCATGAAGCATTTTGATACAGCAGCTTAAACACCAATTTGTGTATTTATTTACTGTGAATCAAATGCTGCAGTACAGTATTAATCCAAACGTTTTTCTGCTATGAACATGTATTGAAAATATATTATCTGTAGGAAGAATGGTAATGTTCTACTACAGAAGAGTACTTTTAAATACATCCAGTATGCAATTATGTCAGAGAAACATTCATGTAGTGTGGCAAATCCTATACTGGAATATTACATATAAGATATGTTATTGCTGTACTGTACATCTGCAGTGCTTATTGAAAGTCTACAATGTTTTGGCCTAACAGACTGAAATCAAGATACTGTAGATGCTATACACCATATACAGTATACAGTACATGCACATACTGTATACTGTATGTTCATTTGTGTGTAGAGACATAGTGGGCCAAACAGAAGGTTTACTTTAGGAAGATTAAGAGGGTGAATAATGTTGATGGCCAGAATATTAGGGACAGGCAGGGTAGTGAGAAGGTTTGAATGCAAACAAAGTGAACATGAGTTTTTCATATGAGATGTCCAATGTCTAGCTTCACAGTTGCAGGTGCTATTGATCAAGCAATGTGTAAGTGTACAGTATCCTGATTTATTCAGTATTAGTGTAAAAGGCTTTTGTGAAGAGTCACATTAGAGCTTGGGTTATTTTTTACTCATCATTAAATTTCACTGTTTTACACTGAAAACGCATTAGAAAGGCAATGTTCAAACTTTTCACTTCTAATTTCTATTTATGCATTGCTAACTTATTAGCTGCTTTTAGTGTGATTTTATGAAAGGTTGTGCTATGTCTATAGAAAATATTAGAATTTAGAGAGGATATTTTCCCACAGTTTTTACTTACTCATTACCTGCTAAGAATAAACTGCTTGAAAGTGTGATAACAAATTAGTGTGGTACAAAATTATCATTTCCAGGTTTCTATGTGCAAAGATGATGTTTGCACATGTAAAATGGCACAAAAACTGGCAGCTTTTATTGCACTTTGTTGTCCCAGTGGTTGGGTGAAAACAGTGAAGGAATACATCACTAAATTGCACAGGCTGATTTAACATTCCATAATGAATACCTTCACTGAATCAAATATAAACAGTGTGGACCTGATAAAGTGGCTGTTGTGGCAGAGTACCTGGGTAGAAGACTGTAATGATTATGGGAACACCTCTAGTGGCCACTTGGACATTGTAATGATCTCACCTGTTGTAAACTAATTGGTTTATTATTATTGAATGGATGTAAGATGTTCACAGTTACACAGGTGTTCATCTGCATTCGTAAGTGCGTTTCATTCTGAAGTTAGTAGAGCAGGAAAGGAGGAGGGTGGTAGATTAAGGATATTAAAAGAGCTGGGAGTAGCTGTTTTGGTAAAGTGTTACAAAACATTTTTGGCTTCTATTAGATCAAGACGGGCACGATTTTAACTAGCCAGGTGTTTTGAAGGATGTTGGTTTTTTGTTCTGTTTATTTCTTAACCTTAATAAAGACGCAAATCTTCCTGGACTTTCAGATTCCTTTGGGGTGGAGTCGAGTTTTCACTTCCCCATGAGCCTTGAACCATGATACCACAGTCTAGGATCTTTGTTATGCTACTGTATGTTAATCATTTTGAAGTTTTTTATTCTTAATCAATATCATGTTACTGTAATTGGTTATCATAATTAATATAATTGTTTATCAAAATTTATATTTTCCAGACCTCACTAAGATGGTTTAGGGAAGAGAGCTGTACCTCTCTAATGAACAGGACCCTCATGATTTGAAAACAATGGGCTTATTAATAACTAAGCATTTACCTGTAGTTAGCTTTCTCATATTTGCTTCTTCATTGAAAATACTTTTTTGGCACGTCTGAATGTAACCATTGACTAGTTCAGTTCATTGGCAAAAATTACTAATACTATTACTGTACATTTAAAACTGCAACATAAAAACAATAAGTGTACAGCATACAGCTAAGAAAATATTTACTCCTACTTCCACTAAACAACACATTTTTTTCAATTCAATTAAAAATAAAAATTAATTTGAGAGAGAGTATTTGGATGTTTTTCATGGGATTCAATTTACCTGACCTCTGTTTAGAAAGAAGACTGCATGGAAAGTGGACATTGTTGTTCAGGCAATTAATATATAATATAAATATATATAATTTAAAATATAATCATTCTAGATGATTTTCTTAACATTTTATTGTTATAATTTGTACTATTTTTTATTCACTGTCTGACATTCAGACAATGAATCCCGGAGTTAATTAAAAAAGTAAAGTACATAGTAAAATGGAGATCCCTATATAAATAAGCACGTTACACTGGGAAATCATTTAAAACTCAGTAATGGAGCATTGGCAGTAATGTGCTCAAAATGGATCACTGGAATAAATTTTCTGCATCAAGTTAGTTTATTTATTCAAATCATCATTAAAATTGTACTAAACACAGTAGTTCAAATGAATACCTTACTTTAAATAAGCCCAATGTTAATATTAATTATGTTTTCTGTCCTTTGGCTGCAAGCTTTTTAGTTTAAACTTTAAACATTAGACAAGGAAACGTTAGACTGTAAAGGGTCCTTAAATGAGCAGCAGT